AGATTACGTTTGATATATTTACCATATGATAAGTTTGTATTTTCTTTACTAAAAAAGCCTGTTCTATAAGGAAATAAGTCTGGAAATAATAGTGGTTCAAGATGATCACTTCCAATTGAAATTAGAATATACATATTTAAATTTAGTGGTAGCATGAAACCTGCCATAAGTCGTTGATAATTAAAGTCTTCATCATGTGTTTCAGTATCATAATCGTAACTTGGAACTACAATGTCTTGTATGTTTTGAGAATTGTCTGTATGAATAAGATTAGTATATTGATTTTGTGCTAGCGGAAAGACTGTATTTGTAGTATTATTTGCAATTGACCAGCTTGGGTTAAAGTACTGTAAATATAGATTATTTCTCTTCAACCAATTAATCGCATTATACAATGTTGGATGATACCAGTTCGGTGAGGAGTTTGAATTATGAAAAATGCATCAAGCTCTCCAGAATATAAAGCTAATACATGGATATTGCGTGAATAACCAAAAGAACCTGTAAGATGTCTGTAGTTTATATAAGAATTGCTTCCGGCATGCCTTCCTAATGAGCATCGTAAATGTATAGGTGATAGAAATTGACGATTATACATTGGAACAGTTGCAATTTCACTAGGAATCGGTAATAGATCTGGAGGTAAAGGTTTGTCCCATTTGCGTTTACATGAATTGCATATAGCTATTTTTTGTATACTTGAATTAGGATGAAAATGTAATTTTTCATTTAGAAATTTACGGATTAATGGGTATTCAAAATTTTCGTTGAATAGTTCCCAAGAAATTTCTGAAATAAACATTAAAGTTGAACAATAGGCACATGCGATGCCAGGAAAGTCATAAAATGTTATATTATGTAAATGATTTTTAAGTTTTATCAGTTCTGAACTTGGCCTCCAAAATTTTGTATCTTGAAAAATATTTTCAGGTTCAGAGAATTGATCAGGATATTCATTAATCAAATCATCGTATTCGGCATTAAAGTTATTTATATTATAATAGTAAACGGTGTAGGTTGACATCGCAATAATTAGTGTTGTTGACGGTCAAGGAGTAATTTTTAATATTATTATTACTGATATAACTATGAGTCGTTAATATAAGTGCTTACATATTTAAGAAGATAAGTTTTTGCTTATTTGATAATGGCAGTGCAGTGCAGTTAAGGAAGTACGATTAAGGGTAGTGCAGTTAAAAATATATGAAAATCTGAATCTTCATAGATAACTTATAATAATTAGGTTATTATTGATACTTGTGATTTTGTGCAAGTAATTTTAATTTTAATTGGATCAAACGAATTAGGTTATATAAAATTATTCGTATTTAATTCTTGGGATATGATTTATTTATACAAGTTTATTCCTAGATTATTGTTCAGGTTGGCTATTGTATTTATATCATTTGGTATATTGTTAAAAGTATGTGCCGATGATGTATTGTTAAAAGTACGCATTTATTAGGTAATTTAATAATACCCAGGTAGAGATTTTCTTGACGAGTACAATCTCTATACTAGGAAAAAAGGTTTTTTTT